AGTTTAACAATTACAATTACTATACACATACACAGAGTTTAACAATTACAATTACTATACACCGAAAGTCTATAGAGGAACGGGAGAACTGAAAAATGTTATAAGATAATTTTTTTTTAATCTAGGAACTATTAACAAACAAGTGTTGGAAAGGAGCCAAGAAAAGAATCGACATATGATAAAAATAATCTAAACTATATGTATGGAGAACTGAAAAATGTTATAGGATAATTTGAAAGTCTATAGAGGAACGGAGAACTGAAAAATGTTATAGGATAATTCTACAATGGGGATCGAATCATGAATCTCAGTGCTATAAATCCTTAAGTTTATTGCTGATAATGGAAATGTCATTAACCTACTGCCTTAAGCAAAAAGAATATATATTACGTACATTTTGCATATATGATTAATTTAATGACTGGGGTAATGATTTTTTAAACTGCATTGTTCCAGTACCTTCCACGAGATAATCTGTATAGATCTGTCTGAGTACAAGCTCAAGAAAGCTGTTTTGAAGTCAAATGTCTTACAAGTAAGATTTTTAGTTACAATGTTTGCCACCAGGGAATACAAAACACTGTAACTTTTTGGACAATATTTCAAAGATGCTTAAAAGAGTTGATAAAGTTTGGGTTACCTTGCTTCACTTGTCACAAGGGGGAGTTTCTCACTAAAACATTCCACAAGAAGGTCTTAACTTTCCCACGTGGAATATTACTAGATATTTTTAAATCGACAGCTGTTTTTTTAAATATGATTAAAATTTCGGTTTTGAATTTCGCGCAAAGCTACACGAGGGCTATCTGCGCTAGCCTTCCCTCATTTAGCAGTGTAAGACTAGAGGGAAGGCAGCTAGTCATCACCACCCACCGCCAACTCTTGGGCTACTCTTTACCAACGAATAGTGGGATTGACCGTCATATTATAACGCCCTCCACGGCTAAAAGGGCGAGTGTGTTTGGTGTGACGGGGAATCGAACCAGCGACCCTCAGATTGCGAGTCGAGCGCCCTAACCTCCTGACCATGCCGGGCCATGATTAAAAGTTTCAATACAATTAACCACATCTTATATATATATACCTAAAACCACAAGGGCTCATTAGTAATAAGGAAAATTTTGTAATTTAAGAAAAAAGTAACATAATTTGTCATATCGTTTTTAAACATTTGCCTAAAAATGGGTAAATGTGTAGAGATAGTGCTGCTGTTTTAATAGTCAGTACCGCAAGTATTTCTCATGATATATAGACATTCAAAATGATTTCTTTACAGCTTCTAGTTACCATGCATTGGTCAGTATATTTATTCCTGTCTCGCCCCCCCCCCCCAGTGGCACAGCAGTATGTCTGCAGACTTACACTGCTAGAAACCGGGCTTCGATACCGACGGTGAGCAGAGCACAGATAGCTCATTGTGTAGCTTTGTGCTTAACTACAAACAAACAAACTATTCCTGGCTCCCAGTGGCTCAGCTGTAAGTCCAATAACTTAAAATGTGCAAAAATAAGCGTTTCGATACTCGCGATGAGCACAGCACAGACAACCCAATGTGTAGCTTTGTGCTTAATACTATAATAACGAACAAACATTATTCATTCATTCTGTGGTAAAAAGACAAGTTACCACAGAACCGAACCATATCACCTGTTTAATTACCATTACTATAATACCACCTTCTTGAACTTTGAACTTTTCCATTAACTTATACTTTACTTGGCTATCTTAGAGTTCCGTGTGACTCTTGACCTGCTCTCCACTTACCTGGATAACATCTACGTAATCTACTCCTAGTTTTTCAAGGCTTTCTTCAACACTTTGTATGGTTCTTTCGGCAGAAAAATCAAACATTTTGGGATATTCTGGATGATATCTCCCAACTTTGGTACCTAAGTAGTAGGCCTGTCTTGGAATTCCTTTTAATGCCTGTATGATGTAAGAACTTTATTAATGTCTGTAACTTGTAACATTCATATTAACAAACCCATAAAACAACTTTTGTTGAGAAATAGTTTAATAAAATTTAAAACTACATCATTTGGGGGATTACTTTTTTAAATATTTATAAAACGGGAACTTCGAAAACAGAAAACTATAATCACGTTTAAAGCAAAGTTTGACAAGATAATTAAAAAAAAACTGTTAATTCAAAAATAGGAATAAGGATGATCAAAAAAGTACAGAAACAAGTTGAATCAAAATGCAAAGATTATATTTTTAAGCCTACAATTAGGGACTCTAAAAAAAAGTAAACAAACTAGGCTGGAATTAGCGTCTACATTATTTTCTCAAGCTACAAATCCATCTTTTGACCCCACGTCTACAGTACTTATAAAATAAATGTCAGTGGAGTAAAAAATAGGGATTTGTAGCTTGAGAAAATAGTGATCATTTATTAACAAAATGAAACAGAACATTGTACATTATTATATCATCTTTTTACAAATATACGTCAATAGTAAAACAAGAACACACCTTATCAAGAACATAATCGTCCATTTCGTAAACAGAATAACATGCATCACTGAACCTTACTGACTCACCTTGCCAACAGAATAACATACATCACTGAACCTTACTGACTCACCTTGCCAACAGAATAACATACATCACTGAACCTTACTGACTCACCTTGCCAACAGAATAACATGCGTCACTGAACATTACTGACTCACCTTTCCAAGGACTATCTCAGCTGTTCCAAATCCATACCAGGGAGACGTGTCAATATAGTTTAAACCTCTTCGTACAGCCTCTCTGACTGTCTTGATTCCGTCTTCCTCACGTGAAGTTTGGTATACAAGTCCTAACTGGAATGTCCCTTTGTGCACGTAAAAAAAAAATGCCTTAATGCCACAACGTTCTTGTAATTCTAAATACCATAAAAATGGATTGTGGGTATTTTAAAGCACAACAAGATATACACTGAGTGGTCACAAGTAGATAGACACCTAATTTTTCGTCATTTAACTGATTTATGCTAACTAATTT